TTGCGCGCGCCCGTGCACGCGGGGGGTAGAAGACGCTACTAGGAGCAAAGGGACAATGCTCTTGGCTAATACTGCATGAATTGAAAGGCCTGCTTCTAGAAAGGATACTGGTGCATCTTGGGGCTTTCTTCTGTGCCCTCGGCAAATGACAGGCAGCTGCCAACCCTGTTGGTGTGACCATACTTGAAAGGCCGGTGCCGAAAAAGCCTAGAAGAGCGTTGCGCGTCATGGCCAAATGATCCTGATGCAGGGATACAGGGCAGTGCTGGTCCCTATAAAAAGAACTCTGAGAACAAAACAGAAATGAAAAAATGGCAACGGCAACTTTAAACAGAGCCCTTTAAAGGAGCCCATATTGAAAGGGACCAAGTATCTTTCTTCTCTTTGTTAATTTTTTTCTCAAAGAACTCTGAGGGCAGATCTAGCGGTCTAGCGACTCAAACTGGACAAATCATTACGGCGGCATTGCATGACGCATTGCAAGTCAGCTTCAGGCGAGAATTGCAATTGGCGGATTTGTTTGGCCAGATTCGAGGTTTGTTGGCTGAAGAGTTGCAAGCTGAGGAGTGTTGAGTCTATTCAAAAGCTTTGAAGAAATAAGTTCACAAGCCCATACTTTGCAGCCAGTTCCACTATGAAGCAAAGAACCTAGCCAACTCATACAGTATTTTACGCTTCAGTATATACTCTCTTTTTGGGCCTGTGCCTAAGAGCCAGACTCTGGCGGCGGAATAAAAGCATAGTTCAAAAATGGTGCCCACCAAATGCATGTCATTTAAGTCTGTGCAACTGTGCAGCTACAAACATTGGCTTCAATTGTTGTTCTCGTCGGTGCAACAGCGTCTAATCCCATGTTGCAATCCGTGGAGGAGTACTCGATGCGCTTGCTGTGTGCAAAGCTTGTCATGCGGTGCACTCCCAAAAGCTGCCGCCTTTGGCGAAGCTTGTCTTACAGCTTTTGCATCACTGTCGAGTTGTTGGTGATGTGAAAAGATTCAATCAGTAGGATATATGCTGTGCTAAATTAAAGTAAACAAACCCCGAGCACCCCTCGAAGGCACCCTTGGGTGCACCCCTTGAATAGCTTTGGGCCTGGCATTCATGATCGAATTGGATCTGGCCAGTCAAACAGGGTGGACCTAGCGGTTGCTCCAGCATCCGCCAGGGTCGGTGACGCTCTGTCTGCTCTGCGCGTGGTGAACCTGGCTAACAAACACACTCAACTTGGTATTCGGCAGCAATTGGGAGGTGTCGAGCCTCCTGACAATGGGTGTTCTCAGGGTCCTTCGCCTTGGTATATATGGTAGGGCAGGACAGCAAAGTGCAGCTACATATAGACCTTATAGTCAAGTCATTTTAGAGAGAGAGAGAGATTCTTTATTTCAGCACACTGTTTTCAGTTCAGATGCAGTTGCTTTCCGACTCTCTCGCAATTAGGAGCCGACAGAACTTGGAGAGCTCAACGTTGAGGGATCTAGCTGTGCCTGTGAACTGACATGGACTCAATTTCCTCCTTTCCGACCTCCTTTCGTTCTTTTTGTCGCTATCTTTCATTAGTTGGACCGGGACCTTTAGATTTCTTCCTGCTGCCTTCCTTTCTATCATGCAAGCAAGCTGCCCAAAGATCTGAGGGTCTGAGTTCCCTCAAGGTCTCCTTGACCAACGCCGACCGCTGTGCGTGACGCTCAGAAAGACTGTCTGAATGCATCAGGCTTTGATTCTATTGTATATATATATATATGTGTGTGTGTACATCGCTCAAATTATGCAAGCGTAGACCCCAAACAGCTTCAAAAATCCATTTCTTGGTTCGCCCTACTTTCACCCCAAGAGCAAACTGCTTCATCAATTTGTTTTACACTCTACAAGTGCCTGACTCTGAAATCCACGCAGCGGATTCCTTGGAGATGGCTGCCAGGGCTGCCAGGGAATTTGAGCTGTTCAGTCCGATACCTGATGTGCAAAGAACGATTCCATTACACATCAGCGCCACTTTGGAACTGACCCAAGAAAAACACAAACTGCTACTTCGAAGCCCAGCAACTTCTGATACCTCCTTCACTTTCTGAGCTGCTGTGCAGAGTCTGTGGTGTATCTTGGGTACTCAACAACCTTGATGACACCAGAGAGCTCCAGTTCTGCTCGTATTGACACTCCAACTCTGTTCTCCCAATGGAAGAACCCAGCGTGTTCTCAGGGGAAGAAATCAGAGACTTGGTCCGTCTCGGTTGTGAAATGTCAAAGAAACAGCAGGACCCAGCGTCAGTTCCCGCTTCTGGGTCTTTGGACGCTTTTGCTTGGCCCTGGCAGCTTGCCTCATCTGACTCCTCCTGACCGCCTTCAAGGCTAAGTCTAAGTTTGCTCTCCAAGTCCTTCACAACTCTTTGCAGATATGCATGAGCTTGAAGAGGGTCACTTCTCGTAAACCACCCTCTCTGCTTGTGGTACCACTCCTTCAGCCCGCATGCTTGCGGATTCTCGTATTGCTGGTGCAACCCAGCACATTCTGCGAGGAGGTCTTTGTGCAGATTTGAGATGTCCATCATCACCCGTTGGCAAGACTTCCTCAGTGGCTCATGGAGGTCAAATACTAATAAAGCGATCGCCCAGCTCACAGGGAAAAACCCTTTGCAAAGCCATGGTGCTCAGGCAATGCCAAGACTACCGCAGCTAGTCTCAAAAAGTAGCCAAGCATAGGATGCACCGTCCTTGGAGCAGCAAAGAATACTGTATGACTGTAGGGTGGGGGGAGCTTCCTTTTGCTCTCAAGCCGCTTCCTTGAAGAAGCCCATCCTCGCACTATTCATTTGGTTCCTAGGTTTTTGAGGAAACTTAAGGACTGTTTTTGCAACAGTCGGCTATAGGGTTCACGAACGAAACTGTGATGCGCTTCTGGAAGCGGTACTCGCAAGCGCGACAATGGCAGTGGCAAACAGCGCAAACAACAGCGGCCGCTGTGGTAGTGGTGATAGTACAATTTGTTTAAAATGTAGCATTCTTCCTGCTCATTTCAGGCAGCTGGCCATTGCAAGCATAAGTTGTGATGAGAAGCTGTCAGAACTGTTCTCTGACAGGAATCAGGATTCACATACAATAAACATTGGAACGTTGTAAAAATCAAAGATCCTGCTCATGCTCTCAAAAAGTTACATACAAGCTTGGCTTCGATCCAAGGCATGAAACCTTTCTCTTGGTCATCCAATGTCACAGGAGCGAGCATCTCTGCAAAGGGCAAGCATGTGCTTCGATGCGCACGTGGCCGCAGTGTGCAATTTCTCGTCTGTTATTTCTTCTTCGGTAATGTTGGAGCACGAAGCAGTTTCTGGAAGTCTGATCATCCCTCTGACTGTACTGTAGAGTAGTTCCACCTGTATATACTTAGTTTATTGACTCACTGCGATGGAGGCTAGAGTAAGTTTCTGTTGAAGTGGTAAGACAAAAACAGGCATACGGCACTGGATGTGCAGATCAGCTTGCCTATATAAGTCACATACCCAAGTGCAACAAAGACTCCGAGGAGGTAGACAGCTGAATTCGTCGATGTAGAGCTCCTGCTTCACTTTCCAGATGTAGATGTCACAGGAATTGCTAGACTGCTAGACAACCACTGACGAGACTAGATGCTTAGATGCTGAACTCTCAAAGTGGGCTACAGCTACGGCTACATCCTCTGATTATATCTTGGAAACCTGCCTCATCCACGCGCCGCCAACCACCTGGCACTGGACAGCGTTCTGCCTCCGCCGCCAACCACAGCAGCAAATCAGAGGCAGATGAACCAAGCCTGAAATTGTCAAGCAAAGGCAAAACTGGTCGACACTTCCCTCCAGTCGCAGTTAAAAATTGCAATCGAGCTTGACAAAGCAATTCTGTGCAGTGTACACTTCATACCGCCATTTGGGATCGAAGTTTAAAGACCCCCGCAAACACCACCTCAACACGAAACCGCCTTGGAGAACCTGCCCTGTGCGTGTTGCGCTGGGAGTCTAAATGCAAATTCAAAAGCTGCTGATCCATGAGGTTGTGGTCAGTGGCAGCAGGCTCATCCGGCAATGGCGCGGACAAAGCTTTGCATTGCAACTGCGCAAACCCTGAGAGATGCAACTGCTGGTGCAAATGGTCAGTGCTACTGCCTAGTTTCTGTCAGAGTAGCTTCAAACTCATCTCCTCAGCTCTCTCTCTCTCTCTCTCTCTTCCCAGACTCAAGGACCATCTAGTCTGAGGCTCTAAAGCGCTGGGCTGCCCGAAAACGCAGCCTCTCTGCCTTTTCAGCATTCACCTGCACTGAGGACAGGTGGACCATGGCCCAACGGTGGACAATCACGGAAAGGCTAACTTGTATATAGTCCAGATTGTTTTAAGAAGCCAGCGTCTGATTGAAGGGTGTGCGTGTAAAAGTGATGGGAAATGTGGCAAATTGCATGGGGTTGTTGGGTTGAGATCCAAGGATTCTTGCATTTTAACAAAGAGCCAGAAATGCAGCGGTTCTCTCAAAACCAGGATATGTTAGGTAAAGCCAAGCAAATAAAACTCAAGACTGCTTCTGGAGATTAGCAGGTCAGGGCAAGGCCTCAGCATTCTGCCTGCGCGCAGGACTTACATAAGCTGGTTCCAACTACGAGCGCACAAGCTGTGCCCCACATTATTGACTTCTTGCAACTCCGTCCTGTTTCAGCCAGAAAACATAATAGAAACAACTTCCACCATCTGTGCCATACAACTGGAACACTCTTGCAAAAGGGATTGAAGGAACATCTATGTGCTTCGATGCCAACAGAACGGGCTGCGAAGGTGCAATGATACGTATGTACAGGTTGGGGCCTATGTTATGTTGGCAAACACCAAGTTCTATATACAGCAGCAATTGAGCGCAGCACAAGGGAAAACTAAAACTCCATTCAGCGCATGTTCCAACACCAATTGATCGCATGCAAGGGGCATGCCAATCAAGGTCCTTTGCCCGATGTGTGTCCAACTCAACAATGCTGCAGGCACTCAGATCAATCCCCAGGTGCCAGCTTGTCTCCCTGTCAGAACAGTGTTCACTTGTTCTTCATCCGCCAAGAGGGTGCTTTTTCACTTGCTTCCATCGCAACTGTGAGCCTTTTCCAAACTTGCATGTGAATGCCGAATGTGAGTCCAGTATACTTTTTCGACATGTGCATGCACAAATGCAACTGCTTCATCAAAAAGTCCATCGACCTGCCAGTGCAATACTGGCTGTTCCAAGTGTCTGTCCTAAGCATCAAGGAATCTGATGTGAAAAACACGGCCCAGTCGAATGACACCCAGCATTCGTCCGTACGCTGTACTCAGGAGCGATACCCTCATTGCCGTTGCATCCCAGAACTGCTGAACCTGGAGTCATGCAAACACTGGCCATGCAGTGTGAAAGCACACTGGGTTGCCGATCTGGGAAACAGAGTTAAACAAACCTGAGAAGGAGGATATGAAAACCAGTGTCTGCAGTTCTGGCTGTTGCGCAACCTCTCTCACACTCCCCCCTTCTATCCATCCATCCATCCATCCATCCACCCACCCACCCACCCACCATCCATCCATCCGCCCACCCTGTCGTCAAGCCGGCCATCCATTCACCTGTTTATGAAAATCTCTCTATCTCTCGGTCTATCTCCCAATCTCTCCAGTTTATCTCTCTGTCTCGACATCTATCAGACACACGTTCCTCTTCTGTCCATCCATCGACCCACCCATTCCTCTCCTAGCCATCCACGAACTATCCAAACTCTACACCGTAACATCCATCCAGATCTACTTCATCTCTTTATCTCTGCAGTTTATGTTCTTAGTCTATCACGCTTCCATCGGTCCATCTACCCACCCATCCATCCAGCTAACAATCCATCGACCTACCTGCGGGACAGAGTCCCCAAAAAGTTATACAACAGCCTAATAGGCGCCCTTTTTTAAGCTATCAGCCCTTCCAACAACTGAGTGGATGCTCTATCTTCTCAAGCATTGTTCTTATCGAGCCACCTATCCCCCAACATCCACATCTACTTTCTGACATTCTCTCCTCTTTTACCCATCCATCCATCCACCCCTTTCATCCATCCATCCACCCACCCGTCCATCCAGCTAGGAATCTATCGATCTACCTACAAGCGCAAATCGAAACTTTTTCACACTCCGCCAGGCCTTTTCCCAAAGTTGTGTGGCCCGCCCATTGTCTTATTTGGTGAAAGCACACTGGGTTGCCGATCTGGGAAAAGGATTTAAACCGACAGTGACAAAAAACAAAAACAATCGTGGACACAGTGGATGCTTGAGGCGCGAATTCCCTTGGAGTACGAAAAAGCTGGTCTATTTGTATAATGTGTAGTTGCGGCAAACTGTGTAACAGTGTAACTCGTTGGAGTTGTTTACAGGTTTCACCCTGTCCCAAAACCCTTCAAAAAAACACTGTAAATACCACACAAGAATGTCAAGCACTGCTCTGAGACCTAGGCGAAACACACACACACACACATGTTTGATCTTTCTCTGCCCAATATCAATAGTTGCCTAGTCATCTGTATTCATTAGTTTTCACTATAGTACATTATAAAATTGAATATATACAAACAGAGAGTTACCCGGCCCCCACCCCAGCCTTAACCTCAGGTGATGAAGATGAATCATATGAAGAAAATAAATAAAGAATTAATTAACTAAATTAATAAATAAAGTAGTCTCCATACGCAATAAGGTAGGTTCACTGCGTGTATATACTAAATTTATTGTTCATTTGTTGTCTTATCACAAACTGCCAAAACCAAAAAACAAAAAAAAACTCTGAGGAGATTGTTTTTTGTTTTCATTGAGTGTTTTTGTTGTCATTGAGTTTTTTGTTTTTTGGTTTCATTAATTTGGTTTCATTAATTGAAAAAACAAAAACACACAAGGTGTTTTTTGGTTTTTGCTTTGGTCTATACAATCACCAATGCCCAAAAACAAAAAAACATAAGGTGTTTCTTGGTTTTTCGATAAAAAATAGACGAACACCAACTTTCCTATAAAATTTTACATTATATGTGGTGGAAGTGAAGGCATCAAATGTTTTTCAATAAGAGGTATAATTTAATATATGGAAAATATGTAAGAAAACTATTGGAAGCAAACAATGAAAACTATGTTGTTGTAAAATTCCTTCATTCATTTAAGGTCAATTATGACCAGATTATAAATAAGTTATTGGGAAACCGATCTTATTAAAGATGACAAAAAGAAAATAGGAAACATTACCTTTGGAATGCTAGAAAATCACACAACACGGCACAGAAGAGTTACGGTTTCACACTTTGAGGGAAACTTGCCATTACCAGAGGGAATTTGGAGGAAGGATTTGTGCCATACAACAAGAAATAGAAAAAGAAGAAGAAACAAACATACAATACCTATTACATCTTAAACACCACCAATAGAAATGAATTAATTGATGGGCTTAGAGATATAAAAGAGTTGTTCCTTTAATATCACAATTTTTCAATGTATGAAGCATAATAATTTTTCAGAAAATTATATTGAGGTCTATCTAGTGGAGAGTGATGCCTTCACGATCCATGAAGACGATTTGACTAGAATGATGGGTTTTTATATAACTATTTCAGACTGGAATATTGAACTTTGAAGAAGGCATAGGCAAGTGGAGACTGACAAACAAATCAATCAATTTTCCAACCAATAAGTACATATTTAGATATAATGACTTAATTGAAATTCCCAAACACAAAACCCATGCATGATTAGAGCAAAATTTGCTGGATCGGGCAAGAGTTACATAGGTCAGTATTTTAAAACGGTGCATGAACAAATTGTGTTTGTAGTGCCTCTAACCGGTTAAATCAAGAAATAGAAGGTGACGCAATAACCTTTTAGAATTCCAATTCATAAGGGGGATGAACTACCAGAGTTTGATCATAACAATTTTGATGTCGTCTTCTTTGATGAAATCTATATACTGTAACAAATCTGTAAAATCTAAAATTTTATTGAACAAATACAAGGACAATAAAGTTATCATAGGCGCCGGTGATACAAAAAAATTAGAACCAATCAATGATTTAATTAACACCCAGTTAAAGACCACAATATGGTAAAAATTATGCTGTTCAATTTGTTCTCTGAAGTCAATGAAATTGTCCACAAGGTTCATTTGATATCTGAATTGTCCACAAGGTTCATTTGATATCTGAAAATATCATTCAAACAGGTATGCAACAGGCAAAGATGGTAGATCTTTGGGGGGGGAACATATATATATATAACCATTCAATCACCGCGCTCTCTCTATTTCTCCATTCAACTGAAGTGCACAGGGTGGCGTATTGCCACATCAAGCAACTGAAGCCACCAACTTCAAGCTCCCACTCAACCCACTTCAACCAAGCTCAACTTCTTTGGAAAGGAGCAATAACCAAGCTGTAGGAGCGAGACTAAGGGCAGGGTACCGTAGAACCTTCAGGTGTATTCCACCTTCCGACCACAAGAGGTGCATGAAGCACCTCATATCTCAAGCTGCCATGGTCAAGCGCCTTCATGTTCCCATCATTCTGAGTTGGAAGGCCCAACGCAGCCAGGATTGTTCGGAAAATGTTTCTGAAAGTCTTACCGACAAAACTCCAACTGGACTGCAGGTCGTAATCTTCCAAAACAGAAATCAACAATTTCACGGAGGTCGGATAAGCATCACTTCGCTGATAGGTGTTTAGCCCGTGTTCGTCTTGGTTTTGGTCTGTGGCAAACCCACAAGCAAAACAGCACATGGATTGATGACATCTCGTAGTCTCGTAGCAAAGAAGATCAGCACGACAAGCCGAAAGCAGATCACCTGCTCTGCAACGAGTATGGTCTCCGCACCAAGACTATATGGTTTTTCAACAGCAAAGAAAGCTCTTCCGTATTGCCCCATAGTTGCACTAAACCATCAATGCAAAAACCAAGCTTTTGCCAAATGCTCTCAAGAACAATACTTCCACTCGCCAGCCTGGCCTCAAAATGGAACAAGAGACATTCACGCAGCTCGATCGACACAGTCACGATCAGTCCTCCGTCCGGAAGATGGCTAGCCATATGCTTCCCTGTAACTCCAGCAGCGTCGGCTTCGGTCTCTGAAGACATGGCTGCGCCCCTAACTAGGCAGGCCCCCGCAAGCACCCAGCACAGCGAGAGGGGGCAGCAAAGGGAAGAGAGGAGAGAAAGCTCAAAGTATGAGTCGACAACCGGAGGTGAGCCGGACTTGAAGAGATGCCCAAACCATGGAGGCAAAAATTCCAACGAAAAACTTTCTGAAAGAAAAGAACCATGCGCCGGAAAGGCCAGGTCATGGTTGCTCAGGTGGCCCTCACAAGTTGGTCAGCTTTTGCGCTAAGCCTCCTCCGTCCAATACCAACACCTCTCAACTTCCACGCAACCGCTTCAGCCTTGTAGGGTCATCTGCGCGATTGAGACATGTAGGGCAAAATGGATTTACCATATAGAGCCCCGAAACCACCACGATAGCAGCTGTCCTGCGCAGAATCGTGGATAGTATCTCCGAGGCTGATCTCCCCTTACCGAGCGCACATCAAGAAGCGTTTGAATCAACCTGATTGGCAAACCTTGAAGGGCCCTGCTTGGCCTTATCCTCAACCAGAGCCTCAACCGGCTTTAGCCCCAGCAGGTTGATATGCACTTCCTTCTTGAAGGACCAAGCTTTCTTGACTTGCCAATCACAGGCTAGCATGACCTCATTAGTAAGCGGGTTCCCGAGGCCACTCACCTTGACTTCATCCTCTTCTGTCCTCAAGGCCTCAATGGTCTTGGTTGCGTGAGCCAAATTCCATGCCTATACTGCCGCTTGCTCAGGTGTGTAAATCGCTGAAGCTTTTGTATATACGCCCTGGTACAGGGTCTGCTGGCCTCCGCAAGATGCTAAACGTGGAACAGGCCAGTTCCACCGCAATGCCTAACAGTCCCCCTGATCCGATGAGATGGAAGAACCAGGAGATGACGGGCTGTAGTGACACATCGACTTCCTCTGAAAATGAAGAGTCCAGCGGTGGTCCAACAACGATGCCCAGGCTGATCAGTGCTCCAACATGCTCAGGCTCGAGAGCAACGACATAGTCCTCCTCGGCCTCATCCAAGAATATCATCTCCGACTTTGATCGTTTTGCAGTCTCGTAAGTCTTGCAAAGGGCTAAAACTATGTCCTCCCGCAGCGAAGTTTGGCAGACTGCACCTATCTCCTCCAAAGCATCTGTCACACAAACCAAGGAGCTAAAGGGGGCAGCAAAATCAGTCAGGGTCGAAGGAGCAGGGGCCACTACCAGCGTCAACACCTGGGCACCCTGCCGCGGCAAAGGAGTGAAGCATCT